ATGTATATATTAACACCGTGTATATGCCAGCTGCATTATTTAAACCAGTGAGATCGAAACCTTGTGTCATCTGGCCGTGGAACAACTCGCGTTTCATTAAAAGAAGGGTGAAAAACTTGGCGAAATTGCCCTTGGTATATCATACCCCCGATCGCGTTAACGAAAAAGAAGGGGAAGGGTTGGAGAAAGAAGTTCTAACGAGCACAGCGCGTGGTTCCATTAATCACGAGCAACAAACTCTTTTTTCTTCAACTCTTCCATGTACAGGGTGATTCTCTCCCTCTGTGGATCTCAATGATATTGCCAGAAAAATTCTTCCCGCAAGAAATAATGCAAGAAAATGTTAAAACTCATTCTCGAATTCGCTGATTTTCTACACTGTTTCTTTTTTTTTAATTTCTTTTCCACAGAAAGATTTTTAACCAGCTCGAAAGATAGTTTACTGTCTAAATATATTATAAGAGATCACGATTTAAGATCCATCATCGATTAACTTCAATACAGGTCTTACTTACACGATGCAATATTTTCTTTTTTTTTTATGAGAAACCACCCTATACATACACTAAAATTCTCTCTCTCGTGGAAGAGGAAGCAAGGAAGGAAGGAAGGAAGGAAGGAAGGAAGGAAGGAAACGTGAAAACGGGAGTTTCTCCTCTTACAGGTTGTACATCTGATGCTTTATTGCCGTTTGGTAAAGTGGAAAGGCCGCGTTTCAACTCGTGGCTCTGCCCAGTTAAACGGGCAGGAAAGGAAGTTAGGAGGTTCCCTGCTTTTGTGTGTAGATAGTAGTTGAAAGTATCCGGAGAGTATACGCCCATTTTTGACGGAGGAAGTATTCTAATTATATAAAATTACGCGCAATAGCTGTGCACCCATTTCATCCTTTGCAAACGTTACATATATATATACATATCCATAAAATGTATAATAACAGGAATAATATTTATTCGTACGTCTCCGTACACCTTTGTAATTCAAAATCATTTGTAAAAACGAAAACTAATTTTAATACTACGTTACGGGAAAAAATTGTTCCTATATTTCCACGTAAAAAGCGATAACTCCACGATAAATGATTTTGACACAAATTTAAGAAGACGAGAGATTCCCTCGATTAAACTACTACGTTCAGTGATAAATTTCGCGAATTCTATTCCACTTAAAGGTCCATCCAATTATCCGATTCGCACCCAATACAACACATAACAACGTTAATATTAATCGTTAAAATTATCGTTGCAACAAAGTCGCGGTACGTATACACACCATCCAATCGTATTCTCCATAAAAACAAAAAAAAAAAAAATATCTTCCATATTTTTATCTGAATTTTCTCGGTCCCCGCTCTAACGAGTTACGCAATCTGTTCCGACGTCTCTGTCTAATGACACCCCCACACCTTTTCCATATCCAATCCGTGTTTTGCCTTCGTATAACGCGGCTTGCTAATTATGCCGTAACTTGGTGCACACCGGTACTCGTACCGGTGCCCACAAATTAATATCGGGATTCCAGCGGTGTGTACTGATAACCAGGTCGAGTTTGTAATATGTTATCGTGGCCGGATATCACGATACACGCGTCACAAGCCGACAACGGGCAACATTTGTTAATGGCCTTAACAAGATATCAGAGAAAGAGAGAGAGAGAGAGAGAGATTGCGAAGGAAGCAACGATCGAAAGATTCCAGAGAAATTTCCATATATAATACGATACGATACGATCAAATATCGATTTGGAGGGGGTATCTATCCTTTTAAAAAGGAAAGGATATTAAAGGTTATTAGGATAGTTGTAATTTTCTTAACACGATCGAGGGTAGCAGAGTATGCAAATTATGTTCGGAAGAGTGAACGTGATTTCACGTAGCTCGAGGAATTCTTTAAACTTTAAAATTTTCAATCTCGACGAATTGATTAAATTATTATTGAAGGATCGAAGTAGTTGTTTGAATCTTATATCAAATGTACCTGGACACGAAGTACATATACGCGTTTTAATTAAGATCGAACTTCGAAATTTGTTCATTTTTCTATAGTCGTTATTTGACACATCTGCTATTGATTTGGACTACAAGATTGTAATTTTATTACTAAGATCGAAGGATGTCAAAAATATTTGATACGCAAGGCTCGATCGACTTCAAGCAACAAAGAGATTTCTATAAAATTTGATTTACACCCTCGTTAAAATCCTTAAAAAATTAAGTTCAAGCTACGTTTCCCCTTACGTCTCAGGATGTGATGATCGAGAAGAAGAAAAATCAAGAAAAGATGAAAGGATATCGATATCGATAAAAGAATATTTATCAAAAACAAGATACCAAGGGCCTGGTTGACAAGACGCGGAAGGAATCGAAGAATCAACGAGAGATTTTTCCATTTCAGGGCAATTTCCACGATAAGGCGAAACGATCGTTTCTACGATCGATCGATCGAACGAACGAACGAATAGTATCGAAGGAAACGGGGTTTGAGCGAAAACAGTTCTCAGTTTTTCCTCGATGACGTTTGATGCGACTAATTTATTCACGAGGCGTAGTAGCGCGTAGCGGGCGGAAGCGCGAACCTTGGAAAGAAACGCGCGAGAAATAAGGAATGGAATAATATAGGAGGTGCAGGTTGACGAAACGAGACGCCGTTAACGCTCAACAGTGTGCTAAGACTGATTTAATGGCGGTGGGGTAAAAACGAAGAGCACTATTAAAAACCAGTTCTGAATAAGAGCCAACCGCGGAAACCGTGGTGTTTTCGCGAGGAAAATAAAGGAACGAAATAAGAAATAATTAGTCGTTTCATTGTTGAACGAAATAAAGAATATAATATATCGTACATTTTCTAGAATTCGAAAAAAATTTGTATTATATAGTAAGAAAGAAACGGAAGAAACTATTGTCGCTTAGAGTGGAAAACGAGCGAGCGAATCATTGAAAATCGTTTCCTCTGAAAACCGTAATTTTTCTGTCACACAAAATTAATTAACAAGCGTGCGATATACGTATATATTATTCGACACGCGAGACTCGAGAATTTTCGATATAATAAGGTTCCTTCGAGAGTCCAATTAGCGTTTCGTTGGATACGAGATCCTCGATTCAAACGAATTCCAAGTGTTGACAAACAATTGAGTTGACCATTTAATACCGGATATCGTTATCTGGCAACAACGTTCTTCTTCGTATTATAGGCGTAGAAGAAACCAGAAATATCTGGTCGAAACTCGCGTCGAAAATTTTTTTTTTCAACGTCGAATCGCGACTCTCGTGACATATAAATATCAATATTTCCGACACGCATTTCGAAAACGCAAATCATGGATTCCTCGTGGCATACCTTTAATATTTAGAGAGAATTGCCGGTTTATTCGCGGCGATTATCGATGTTAATAACCGTGCAATTCGTTCGTTCCTCGGTGTTCCAATAAATTTGCCAATAAATTCTCATTGGTAACCCGGTTTAAGTGCGTCACTGAGCATGGAGGAACAAACGCGGGACCCGTGTTGCTCTCGTAACATGGGGTGCAAAAATAAAACAAGGGGAAAATTGTTGCATCGTCGATAACCAACCCTTACGTAAGCCTGGAGGGAAAACGGTGACCACGAGGAAAGGACGGGGGATTCTTGAGGATTTCCGGATACGTCGTGGAAAAATTGAATACGATATTTAGTTGGAAATATCGAAATCGTTATTCCATTCTTTCTCCTCGCGATTCTCGACACAGAGAAATAATAATTAAATGCAATTGTTATATTACAAACTTTAATAGCACAGTTTCGCTTAATAGCATTTTCATTATGATTAGAAAAAAATTGAATATCGTGAAAACGGAGACGCAGTTTATATACAGGGGGGAATAAAAGTGCAAATATTTCTTCTCATAAGTATAAGTATTACAAGTATCCATTTCTTTTTTTCACTTCCATTGTTGGAATTATTCTTCTCCCTTATAAAACACGTCATTTCTACTATCTTCCGTCGATGATTCACTTGGCACGACTTCAAAGAAGTATGCTAACGCTATAAATATCTGATATTTGTAAAAGTAAACGAGCTTAAAAGGATCTAGAAAAAAAAAAAAAAAAAAAAGAAAAATTCGAAAATAATCAGACGACCGCAAAAGTTAAATATTTCACTTTTTCACTCACTTGTTCCCCGATTCATCCTGCTTCTAACGGAAAAATACTTTTGTATAAAGAGAAGAAAAGAAAAAGAGGACGAGCCGCGAAAAGATATCGCGCACCGAAAACCGTTAAGGCGAAAATGGTAAATGATATGTAAGTTAAAAGAAGAAATTGTCGGGAGAGAATTACAGAACTCGAGGGAAATAACTCTCTAAAGGGATTCCTTTGTGTCACCGGTGAAACATGGATGAAACGACGTTTTCCGGGAGAGAAGACGAACCGTGAAAAACGCGGCCCGTAAACTCCACTCCATGATTATTCACGAAAAAGGGAGAGAGGAAGAGAGAGAGAGAGAGAGAGAGAGGAGAGGGAAGGGGACGAATGCAGGCGAAGTTACCTCAAAATTCCGAGTGTCGAGGAAAGATTTTCCCCGTAGGGAAAATTTTGCATGAGATTACCCGGAACGATGCGAATATAGGATGAAAAAGCAAAGGTAAAGCGGTTCAGCCGCTTTCCACTAGGGCCCACGGACGAAGGGAAAGGGAGGGAGGGATGAGAGCATATTTATTCGATCCATTAGCATCGATTCACGGGCCAAACTGCAAATTGAATAACTTCAAAGTCGCACGGACCACGTTGCATTAAACAGAGCCGCGTATCGAATATATATATATGTATAAATATATATATATACACTATGTCTATATCGATCGACCCTGTTTTTCAGCGAGAGAAAAAAAATCAAACGTCACTGCGCGTCGCTGAAATTTCTTTCTCCTTTTCTTATTTCTTTCTTTCTTTCTTTCTTTCTTTCTTTTTTTTTTATTTCTTCGACCCCCATCGAGAATTCGTGGGATGGCCGAGAACGTTTACGAACCTATCGTTGCGCTGCATTAATTCCACCTCGTCGGATTCCGTTTTAATCCCCTCGAAAACATGTAACCGGCGGTGGCGGGTACAACGATCGAGAGTCACATCATCCACCACGTTCACGTAGCACAGACCACTTACCAAAATCGCGAGCAATAGCCGCCTTTTTCTTAGACTTAATTATTATCGCGAGGGGAACAGGGGTGTCCTCTCTTGGACAATTCTCGGTCGCGTCGATCTTCAAGGGAGACACTCTGAAAGGATGAAATATGAATCTTCACGAGACGTTCGCGATCTCGCGATTATCCCGCGTAATAATGCACCGTCGAAAAATACACGTTCACACGCGACCGATCAAAAGTGACACGGCGTGCCACGCGATGCCACGCGAGGGAATAAACGTGGAGGAAACGGGAGGGAGCCGCGGGTTGCACGCATACCGCACATGTGATTCTTCCTCTCTCTCGCAACGTCGAATAAACGGACCATGCGAACGGCGTTGTATGAACGAACGAGCGACCCAGTTTTGTTTGCCTGTTACACACTTTCGTAAGTTAACCACGTGACTACGGGTGCACCTTGACCACGAAGCGTGAGGTGGCGAGACACGGCGAAGCAGCAGCGGCAAGCAACACCGTGGACTGAATTCGGTGGTAGCCGAAGCTACACTCGGAGCGCGATTGACTCGCAGCCAGGCGCCGCCTGAGGCGCCTCTACCATCCGCAATGTGGAAACTTCCTCCTCGTGGGCTCGTTACGTCGGCCATCCTTGTTTGTCCAAAACGATTTCTCTCCCCTCCCGTTCCTCTCTGCTGCTCTCCTCTCGTGTCGAATCGAATTGCGAATCGCGTGAAATTTCTTCTCGCGAATCCGCCATCGTTCCACTTTTTTCCATCTACGTACAACATGTTTTCGGATTTGAGCTTGCGTTCGAATGACGGAGGAGGGAGAGAAACGGTCGATCGGAGTGATTAATGGGTTATAAACTCGATAAATAAGTTTCAACCGATATTTTTCTGCGGAAAATTTTTCTGCGTATTCGTGTTTCCCTGTTTTGGGATCGAATTAGATTCGTTCGTTTTTCTATTCATTATATATTACGAATTATCCGTTTAAATTATAGACACGTTGGTGAATACATAGAGAAATTGAAACGTTGAGATTTATTATATACGTTAATTGAAGATATTTAATCTCTCGACCGATACTACTACCTACGTTCCTTTCGTTTGATCAAGAGTTTTATTTTACAAAGAAACGAAGGTAGTATCGTTAGTTCGTGTATCAATATTATCTGTTGAGAAACGAAAACTAATAATCTTCCTTTGAATTTAATGAATTTGTCCTTCAACAACTTTACTCATCGCCAACTATCTCGAAGATAACTTCTTCGAGCGTTATAAACATGTTGATCTTTCAATTACTTCAATCAATCCTCGCGCTACTCAAATAATTAAAGAAAAAAGATAAAGACTTTTGCAAGCCAATTTTTTGCTCGAAACGCGCATGACGTTATCATTATACAAATTGTACGAACACGAACCGTAATAAAAGATAAATAATAAATTTTTTAATCTGCTTAAATGCAATTGCAATTTTTAAGCCAATCGGTTTTAATCCGACCGATCGACATTTACAAAACAAAATAACACGGATTAAAACGAAAAAAAAAAAAAAAAAGAAAAAAGAGAGATTCGCTTAAAAAAAAAAAAAGAAAAAATTCGAAACGATAATTTACTCGCGATTCCGAGTTTATCGCGCAATATTTGCTTTTCGCGGGAAGACGAGCCAAAAGCTTGAAAATCGATTCACCGTAATACGAAGTATCGGATTCTCTTTAATAGCGTTATCGACGGAAACGTAGGAGGAAGACAACATTTTTTTTTTTTCCCTCCCTCCAAGACGGCTGTGCGCCATCCATCGAGAAGGGAGAAGGGAAAGGAAAATTTCCCCTTGGGATCGATCGATTGCCAATAGGTGTTTGTCGATACAAATTCAATATCTCCCTCGCACCAGCACGCGAACACGCTCTCGCTTCCTCTCGCAGCCGCCATACCTCGTCGTCTCGCGCCGACAACGAGGCTATTTTGGGGATAAAGGTGGGTAGGTAAAGCCATTCACGCTTGCATTTTCAAACACAGTTGCACGCGCCCTCCCTATCTAAACTTATTCGCATCGAAAATATCATATGGATATGATCGCTAATGTTATTGGGTCACTCGCGGCTTATTTATCGAGATAAACTCCGACGATTTCCGGTTTTGCGTACACAGGGAGAGCAAATACTCGATAAATCTGATAAAACGAAATTCTCGAAACGAGAGAGGGAAAGAGAGAGAGAGAGAGAGAGAGAGAGAAAGAGAGAGAGAGACGTTATCCTCCTCGCCGCTGCAGAGAGTTTCACGTTCGAAATAACGACAGATAGGATTTCCCTATCGACGTCTCTCGTCGAACAAGCTTTGCATTGTCGACCGTTGTCGATACTCTGGGCCGTGTACCCGTGGAAAAAAGTTGAAATGCCAGCCCGGGTAATAGTTGATTCCAGCAGTATCTCTGTATTCGAATGTAGAAAAAGAAATCGACGACGATCGATCGTATAAATTTACAGATAGATCGAAATTATTGATATATTCGCGGCCGAAACAAATATAAAAGTCGATGTGTAAAAAACGTGTCGATCGAGGAGGCTGCTTCGTGTATCCGTATCGTCACGTTCTATCTTCGTCTGGTGTGAAATTAAATTGCTTAAGGTGCGAGTATATTTTTCAAAATGAAGAAAAAAAAAAAAAAAAAAAGAAGAACGAAAGAAAGAAACTCTCGAGATTTGCACTTGAAAATCAGAACCGTTGGACGAGTCATTTCTCTGCGTAATTCCCACTTGCGAAAAATTCTCTTAAGAGCAATTCTCGAGGGTTTTTACTCTCAAATGTATTCGCACCCTTATGATTTAACTTTCGAACCGAAATTTTTCCACAAAAATTTTCACGCTTGTTTCAACCAGCTTCTCTTCAAGATCGCTCGTCAACAAATCGAACGAGCGATCCACGATTATCGTACGGAAGATTAATTTTCTTGAGTGAAATAGCAGGTTCGAATGCAACGAGAGACGAGTACACCAGATTCACTCGAACGTGACGCTCGGGAATAGTGGAAAGAAACATTTGCAAACTGCTTGGTTGGCAGTCAATTTTGACGAAGGTCGTGCCACGTTCGGGAACAATAAGCTGGGAGGGAATATTGCTTAGGTACGAGTGCTCGAAGCGGCCAATATGTATTCCAGGTGCACACAACGACCAAAGGTTCTTGGCCCTTGCGTGCACCGTTAACTCGGGCCACCGATCCGACCAGTTTCGAAGCCGTGCACAGTCACACCTGAAGCCACCGGCTACGAATTCGATTAATTTAATCGGAAATGTTACGATAGCTTTTTTTCCTTTCTCCCCCCTCTCCCTTTCCCCCTTCGTATTTACCAAGCGTGCAGTGAAACGTGTTTTTATTTTTGTTGCCAATTCGCCAATTTATAGTTTTTTTTTTTTTTTTTATTTTCTTTTTGTTTGCGAAACAGGTAATAAAATATATTCGCCGGCCGTTCGTGGATTCATCGATGGGGGATAAAATATCTTTTAAAATTATTGTTGAATCGTGTCCGACTGTTTTCGACTTTGTTTACGATTTGAATTGTATCGCGAATTTAAATAAAAAGGTGAACGATGCGCGATAGATAATTTGAAAGGAATCTCGATAATATTTTTTTTGCGCTTTATTCCTTTCTCTCTCTCTCTCTCTATATATATATATATTTTTTTTTTTCTACATTTGACAAGCGCGATGAATTTTTAATTATACAGTTTCGTATAACCAGGTCGTTCATACGGTAAAAGTCCACATCATTTTCCTCGCTATGATTTTTCGTTTAATTAACAGTTCACTTTCATGTACAAGTGAATTCCATCAAACATTTGCTCGTAAATATATGATAACGTTTCAGTTTCAAAGTTTAAGAATTTAGAAAACTAGTTGGCGAGCGGAAAAATTGCATAATGCTTAAATGGATTCATGCATCGTGAATTTTATAAAACACGTATTGCACGAACGAATTCGGAACAATTGATGCGATATATCTTTCGATCGCGTATTATATCCACTGTATTATATAGAAACATTTACATAACTATAGCTCGATGCTCGATGATTGTTTAGATAATGGAAGCTTTCGTTAGACGGAAGCTTCGATCGATCGAGCCTCGTATAAATGGATCTTCGTTGAAATGCAAAAAGAAATAAAAAACCCTACCCACGAAGAACGAAAGAGTACACGCGAAAACAAAGAAACTAGGTGACAAAAATATATTTTCTACAACAATCTTTTATTTTCTACAACAATCTTTTATTCATTATATAAATTTTTCAATATATATATATATATATACATCGAGAATCACATTTATCGATACGATCGTTCAAAATCCCGTTAACGAAAAACTTCGAACTCTTTTTTTTCCTCCCCACCATATAAAAATTTCAAATAATAAAATTACCATCCCTGCGTAAAAATTTCGACCGAAACTCCGAACAAAACTCGTTTCAATTATATCGAAACCGTGGATTTTTAGACGGACGCGAGAAATATTCGCCAGAACTTAAAATACGGAACGGCAATTAAGCGTTTAACATTTATGACATTACACGTGTCACGGATACCCTCTTTACTTTTCTTTTCTTTTTTTTTTCCTCCCTTCCCCTCTCCCTCATCCAACGTCCGATTCTCCAGCCGAAGCAGAGGCCGTCAACGATCGTATTTTTCTCCTGGCAGGCCGTTCTCCAGGTGAAATCCCCGCGAAATAAATGTCAAGTTTCAAAGCCGCAGGTGCGTGGAGACGTGGCATTTATTAAATGATTATTTGCACTGGACGCAGAAAACGTTATTTATACTGGATACGTCAAATGTCAGTGAGGGAAGAGAGGCATTGCGAAAATGATGATGGCCCGGGATGCGCTCAAACCCGACGCCCGTTTCTATGTGTCGCGTTCGAGCGTTCCACGCGCGAAATAACGCGTGATATATTCGCGAGAAAAATTTTTCCACCTTCGGGTCACGTCTCGTCCCGAAGAGACGTTCTCGTTCTCGACAAAGCTACGTACCGTGGCCCACGTAGGATCCTCCCCCTTTCCCCTTTGTAAAACAGGCCCCCGATTGGCCTCGCAGAATTATCGGACGATGAAGCGATGAATTTTTTTTTTCTTCGAATTGTAAAAGAAAAATCGTAAAGTAATTTTTTCTTTTTAAGATAAAACTTAGACAACTTAGAATATCGCATCGGTAAAAAATTCTTTGAAAAAGAATAAAACAATCTACTTATCGATTTTTTGAAGAAGAAAAAAAAAATAGTTTCGAAAAATTGTTCGAAAAACGATGCTTTCCTAATCGTTGCTAAATAATTCATTAAACTATTTATCCTTACGCTAGCACACGCGAGGGGAACGTTACGAGATGGAGAGGACACCTGTGCAAAGAGAGGCTCCACTCCCTTCCCCCACCCCTCTCGAGTCGTATCGACTCGACTTCATTAACGAGAACGATGCTCGGCCGATCTCCACGAGTCGAATTTAAAAGCATCTGCCTAATAAGCGGCG